ATTAACGTTGATGTAATGGACAGAAAATTCTTGCGTTTTTCATTTGATGGGAAAATTTACGAATTTACTTGCCTCCCCTTTGGCTTGGCTTCAGCTCCCTATACTTACACAAAATTATTAAAACCTGTAGTACATTATCTTAGAAATAACAATATCACATGTGTGAACTACTTAGATGATTTCTTAATTTTTGGCGAAACAGCTAAGGATTGTTTTGATAAGGTTCAGTTTTCACTTGAATTTTTGAGATCATTAGGTTTTATTGTTAATGAAGGAAAGAGCATCCTAAAACCCAGTAAGTTCTGCAAATTTCTAGGATTTATTTTTGATAGCAAAAATATGAAAATTCATCTTCCATCGAACAAACGAGAAAGAATTAAAAATATTGTCACCAAATACCACTCTAAAAAACATTTTAAAATTCAGAAATTTGCAGAAATTATTGGGGTACTAGTGTCCGTGTGTCCTGCCGTCAAATATGGATGGCTTTATACAAAAAATTTAGAAAGGGAAAAGTACTTGGCTTTAAAAAGAGCCAAGAGTTATGAAGCAAAAATGTATCTCAATAACAAAATTTTGGCAGATTTAAATTGGTGGTTACAAATTATAGACACCACATATAATGATATTAAAAAAGACAAATTTAAAATTGTTATATTCACAGATGCATCCCTTACCGGCTGGGGAGCATGCGCGGGGGACAAAGACGCACATGGTTGGTGGTCTAAGAATGAAAAAAAGTGTCATATTAATTATCTGGAGCTAAAAGCCATATATCATGGTATTAATTATTTTGCCAAATCATATAGAAACTGTAATTTATTAATTCGGACAGATAACACAACAGCTCTTTCCTACATTAACCGTATGGGAAGCGTGAAGTATCCATATCTTAACTCTCTTGCAAGACTTATTTGGCAGTGGTGTGAAAAAAGAAACATTTGGATTTTAGCTACGTATATTAGTTCACTAGATAATTGGAGAGCCGATCAGGAATCTCGAAGTCTACCTATAGAAACTGAATGGTCTTTAGCACCTTATGCTTTTGCCAAAATTGTAAATTATTTAGGCATTCCTAAAGTAGACCTATTTGCATCCAAAGATAATTTTAAGTGCACCAAATATGTATCATGGTTTAAAGATCCAAATTCAGTTGCGGTCGACGCATTCACCACAAATTGGGGTGGTAGCTTGTTCTATGCTTTCCCCCCATTCTCACTTATAACAAGGGTTTTGCAAAAAGTAATCACAGACCGAGCGGAGGGCATCGTTGTGGTACCACAATGGCCAAGTCAACCTTGGTACCCACTACTTTTAAAATTATCATTGAATACTCCAGTCATCCTTGAGCCAAGTCGTAATTTATTATCTTCTGCTTCCAGGCAAGTACACCCACTAGCAGCCACGCTTACTCTGGCTGCCTACAAAGTCTCAGGGAAGCTTTCCTATACAAAAAATATCCACCAAGTGCAATTAACACAGTGATCAATTCTTTAGCGAAGTCAACTGTCAATCAGTATAACTCAACCTATAAACTCTGGTGGAAATTTTGTCATCGAAAACAGTTAGAACCGATTCAGGGTCAAGTTTGCGATGCCATCGAATTCTTACAGGAACTAATGGAAAATAACCAATATGGATACAGTACATTAAATTCCCATCGTTCAGCGTTATCGTTGCTCTTATCCAAAAACATTGGAGAAGATCCTAGAATGAAAAGATTTATGAAAGGTGTTTCAAAACTCAAGCCGCCAGTACCAAGATATTCAGTGACTTGGGACCCGTCGCAAGTTCTTCAGTATTTAAAAACTATTGATACTTCGAACTTAAAAAATATTTCACTTAAGTTACTTACCCTTCTTGCCTTGGCTACAGGACAACGACTTCAAACCCTGTCACTAATTAAATTGGAAAACATTGTAGAATCTCCAGATGCATATCACATTTTTATTTCAGATAGAATAAAAACTTCGAGTGTGGGTAAAAATCAGCCATACCTTAAAATACCATATTTCGAAGAAGATATAGATCTTTGCGTCGCAAGTACTCTTAAACTATATCTTCGTCAAACCGAAACGCTTCGGTCAAGTAAGAACGGATCTCTGTTTTTAACTTATAAGAAACCATTTGCAGTAGCCTCAAAACAGACACTAAGTCGTTGGATTAAGGAAACTTTGAATTTATCAGGGGTAAACGTAGATATATTTAAACCCCACTCAGTAAGACACGCATCCACATCTCTAGCTAAAAGGAAAGGCCTCAACATAGACTATATTCAGAAAACTATAGGTTGGTCCAACAAATCCAAGGTATTTTCACAATTTTATGACAGGCCCTTGCAGCCAACTGAAGACTATGTTCAGACTATTTTAAGTTCGGGTTCTTAATTATTTTTGTTACTACTTTTTAATGGTAAAAGTAATTTAATTTAAAGTAGAGTAACTTACTTAAATTTATCACTCTATGTATTGTTCTAAAATAAAAAAGTTACTTTTATTTAATCCTACTACCATTTAACCGTAACCTTACTTTAAACAACTACCGATTATAAGTGATACGAGGGCTGGTTGCGAGTATAATCAATAGATCAAACGAACTTACCTTAAGTGAAGTTCGATCTTGATTATACGAAGCAACCAGCCCGAAGTATCACCACCCACCTTCCCCTATTTAACCCCATATGGTTACGATTAAATTCATTATTCTTTAAAAAAAAATGCCGATTAGGTGGACCCTGCGCCGGGGCAGGGAAGTGGGAGATACAGCGAGAAGTTCTTTAAAAATTGTGGACACAAGTGCAGATAGACTGACTACCGATTATAAGTGATACTTCGGGCTGGTTGCTTCGTATAATCAAGATCGAACTTCACTTAAGGTAAGTTCGTTTGATCTATTGATTATAATACCCGATATAGACTTGAAGAGAATACCCAAATTGCTCTAAGAAACAAGACCATAGGACAGAGATCATTAAATTTTTTAAGTACCGTAATCTACAATTTTTTGCCGAACGTGTATAAAATATATTTAATATCAATCAATTCAATAGATCTTCTAAAATCATTTATTAAATCATTTATTTTAAATGTTGAAAGGTCCATTATTCATTCTCTAATTGAAAGAGACATAAATTAATTAGAACTAAAAAGTACAATAATATCTAAAAAAAAAAAAAAAAAAAAAAAAAAAAAAAAAAAAAAAAAAAAAAAAAAAAAAAATTGAATTTAAATAATGGAATTAAACAAGAAAACTCCCGCGCAACCTGTGTAGGTCATAAGCTAGTCGTACGGTGGTCCATGTTTATTCGATAAAAATTTGTTAATTAAATTATATATATTTATTTATTTGTATCTGATTGTATTATCATTATCTTGTTCTTGTAAAACACTATTTCTTTTTGAATAAACATTATTATTATTATTATTATTACTACTATTATAATTCTGATAGGTACTTCAGATTAAAACATTTATCCCATTCCTATGCAATACCTCACTTATTTCAATACTTTACTTATTTCATAATAAAACTTACAGTGGTTTTAACATACATACTAAAAAATGGTATTCCCGACGCCGAAACGGCCGACGCCGAAACGGCCAACGGCGAAATGGCCTGACGTCCAAATGGCCACGTCGAAATGGTTACGCCGAAACGGCCACGTCCAAATGTCCTAAACCACTGAAAGCAACGATGATGGCTTGTGAGCATCTTAAAATATCTCATTACTTATCACAAAATCTGAAAAACTGCACACCATTGGAGAACAGTTAATTTTACCTGGTATTGAAGAGTTTTTAAAAACTGTTCTGCACAAATCTACATTTAACATACCCAAAAGAATTCCTTTGAGTAACAACACTGTACAAAGACGCATTGATGAAATGAGCTCTGATGTTGAAAGTTTCTTGTGTGATTATCTACGAACAACTCATTTTTCTATTCAGCTGCGTGACTCTACTTAACCTGGCAATGAAGCATTATTATTGGTAGGCATATGTTCGATTTGTTATGGGCGAAGATATTCATGAAGAGCTACTATTCGCGAAAACATTGAAGACGGACACTAACGGTGAATCAATATTTAATGTTTTGAGTGATTTTGTTAAAGAAAAATCGATTCCTTTCACAAACATTATTTCCGTGGCAACAGATGGAGCTCCTGCTATGGTCGGGCGATATCGTGGGTTTATAAGCCATCTTAAAAGAATTATACCATTTAAGTCAAGGGCTTAGTAATATTGAAGACAGTATAGGTAAAAGAATAACCAAGAGAAGAAGAATATATTTAAGTGATCTTTGCTCTATACATTAGAATTATTTAGTTAAACCAATTCTTTGCTAAGAATATTTTAATTCGTTTTTATCATTATTAAGGTTTGAGGATTAAGGTATATTATTTAAATACCCCACTAAGAAAATTCATTGGGATTCTTCATCATATTCTGATAGTTATAAAGTACATTTATTTTATAAATCTCGTCATTTGCTGCAAATCATTGATTTATGAAATTGATTATTTATATGCAATAAACCCGTAACAGGATATAGGATGAAAGAATATAAGCGTGTCTTCTATTTATTAAATCACTAAATTATCCATAATTAAAAGAAAAATAAGAAATATAAGCTAAATATTGTAATATTTTTTATTTCAAATAATATTGAACTAATAAATGTTTTAAAATAATTTTCAATAAAATTGATTTTACTTTGCTTGTGGATAACGAATATTTTTTACGATATTTCTTGACTTAACTGACTAGTTATTTTTATTTTGTATAAAAAAGTACACCTAAAGTCCTTGAAAAAATTATTTTGTATTAAAACAAAGAAATTCGATATATTTTAAATATATATGCATATAAAGATACATTACATTAAACAATATAATTAAATATAGTTATATCACCTATATCAAGTTTATTTTACATAATGTTTTTATTTTATTAAATATATAAAAGGTCCGAAACTGCAATTTTTCCATAAATCAGTTGACACTTTACTTTAAACATGAAGATCGCAATATTTGGATTTGTTTTGTTTATTGTTATTGTAAACGCTACAAGCAGTCCAGTAGCAGAGGCACCAGAAGGTAAGTTATTCCAATATTTTTAAAACCAACATCAAATTAAATAAATGTTAACAAATATTGTTTCGGTACCTATAACATACAGATTTTTGTTTCGTCCAAGCCGTGCGTTTACGGTGTTATCCGTAAATTCAACTTTGCACTGGTGATCAGAAAGATTATGGTGTGTTTGTTATTGAACGTGTCCCTTTCGGGATTAAAGTGGACTGCAATATATATTTCTTAATAACGTGAATTAAATTAAAATGCTACTCAACTTTGTAACATAATTTAATTTTAAAAATACGATAAAAAAAAATACAAATAAATAATAATGAATCAACAATTTACAATGACGGTAGAATACATAATAATCATCGCTAGGAAACCCGCTGCTCCCGATACAAATCTTGCAAGCGGTGTTGCCAAGTGATAAAAAAAATAAATAATTTACATAAATTTTAAAAATTGCAATTCACGACTTTCACTACTCACTAAAAAAAAACTCATTTCTCGTTGCGACTGCAGTTGGAACCATTATTTGACACGTTATCCACGGCTACCACCATTATTTTTTCACGCTGCACCTCTTTATTTTTACTTGTGATTTCCCTACACATGTTTATACTAACACCCTGTTTTCATCAAACTTACCCATAATCGGGATCAGATTTTCTGCGTTTAGTGTACCCACTTTTCCTATTAGGTTTATCCGCCACTATCTAGCATAATCCCTTTTTCCGCAAGCGAATAGGGTATGTTGAGCCCTGTCCACCTTCGAGCATTTATGTGCAGACTTCGTCTGCAGCCCTGCTAGTTTTTTTTGTGTCTGAGATTTTTCTTAGTAGAGAAAAGGAACACGTCATATGACTTGGGTTGGGTTGAAAATTAGGATGATTAAACCACCTTCCACGGCGATCCAAATAAACCTATTATGGATCATTCGTACATTATAGTTCTTCATACAACTGTTAGTAAAGGCCACGATAGAATTAGGCGAGACTTATCTGAAAATAGTATGCTCCACAGTCAGATAATGCCAAAGCTATAAAATTTTATATGGAAATCTATATTTTCAGCTGTATTCACTTCTCATAATATATCTGGCTACATAGCTTACCCAATAAAAACATTTATTTCTAATCCTAAACACGCACAGGAGGAGCTATTTTCATGAATATTAAAATTACATGTACGGTGGTCTGTTGTTTTCGTCTACTGCTGTTGCTAAATACGTTCGTCTATTTCTATAATCTTCATTATGTTCTAAACAATATTCTTAATAATATAAGATATTTGTCCTTCTTTAGGTAAAACCCTCTAAATGTCTCTACATCTAAGTCCATTTTCAGTGCATTACTAATACTAGTCGTTTCAGTGTAGAATCTATGCATTGCAATATTACTCGTCATCATCGTAAAGACCGTAGTAAATGTATGTATATACCTCAGTTTTCATTATACCGAATGTGAACTTTCTGAAAGATCCATGACCAGAAAGAAACTGGGTATTATAGTAGTTCGTAATTGTGTTCGTTCTGAAACCATAGCCTTTTATCGGGGATCAATCATGTAGTTCATGAACCTATACTACTTTCCTGCCATCTATGCAGTACATTCTACCTGATCTTATGCCGTATCATTGACTCATTTTCCTGTCTAGTTTCATAGAAAATTTTCTGGCCAGTAGGTGGATTGAAATGACTTTAACGATTAACTTTGCAGCTGCCGTTGAAACAGTTTTATATTAGCTTAAACTACTACATCTACTTTTAATAAGGTTTTTTACTTTTTCATGGACAAAATACTATACCATGTAGTGACTTCGAATAGCTACATAGAGTAAATTACCCCCAAAAACGTTTTTCTCGTGAAATAATTAGGGCGTTTAACGTTGCGTATGGTTTCCTGAAAGGCCGTACTTTTATTCAGTACTTTTTGGGCGTACAAGTATCCGAATGAACTAAAACTAGGGCATCTCTCCAGTACATGAATGTTACAGCCTCCTTTCCGTTTAAAATAATTCCTCTGGTCATGCTCTTTGCGATGGCAAGTAATGGTTCTGGTTCGATGAACTCTTTCTTTTAGTAACTCGGTCTACGTTTTCATAGCCCTCCAGATCAAAGTAACTTTGTTCCGGGCCCCGAAACATTCAAGGGTATTAATACTATTTAAAACTATGGAAGCTGAATGTCTTTTCTATACGCTCTTAAGGAACCAGCGAGTCGGAAAATATATCTAGTAGGTATTTGTTGGTTATGAATTTTAGTTAACAATCCCATTTCCCCTGATAGAGTTGTTCCCTGCATTGAAAATTCACTGGCAGGAGCCTGTAGGAGATCATCTTGACATTCCTTTCAAATAAAATGTAAAAAGGCGTAAAATCCAGTCTCTATAATTTTCATCAGTGCGGTCCTCTTAACTTAGGCAAATTCACAGTCATATTTCTATCCTTGTTATAAGTATTGAGTGAGAGAAATGCAAAGGTACCTTTTAAGTCTGCAGTACAATTATTTAGTGGAATATTAAAAGTTTTATTTGAAATTATGTATTATCGAAGTCAAATTCGTGAATTCTGATATAGTTTTTGATGAAATTAAAAAATTTTGGCTTGTATCGGCTAATACGACATTGGTGCTAGTTATGCCTGTTAAATGGATTAACGTGCCACTAAACAGGTTACATAATTTAAATATAGATGTATCAAAATTTTTTTTTAATTGTGGTTGATTAATAAAGATGGTGTAATACATTATAATCGTCAAATGTATTGGAAATGCGTATTTTATATATTTACACTATGTTGATTAAAAAGTGAATTATAGTAATTTGTATTAAATCAGAATCTCTTAGTGAATATTTTTAACTTTTTGTTTAAAAATGTTTATTAATTATTCTTTCAGAACTCAGTAGGGACAAGAGATTCACCTGCGAAAACGTATTGAATAATCTTCAGAATGGACCATCCAAACTAAATGAAGCCTATTGTGCGTCTCGTTGCATTTTGAATAACTATCAGGGAGAATGGTGCGATCAAAATAAACGTTATACTGGATTTATAAGATATTGATATATATGGATATATTTGACTTTTAAATTCTCTCATCTACAACAAAATGTCTGAGACATTTATCTATATATTTAAATATATTATTTATTAGAGGGAGTTTTTATTATGTAATATTTACTTACTATATTAAAGGACTTGTAATACCATAATAAAATAATATTTGATTTTAATTTTTAATTGTTTTTTTAATAATTTAATAATTTTAAATACGAGGTAGAAACACAAATGATTTTGAGAACGCTATTCATTCATAACCTATACCAGAAAAATGTTTAGAACTCTCTGTAAATTTGCTTGTAAATAATTTGTAAATTGAAAATATTTTAGAAATTTCTTCGAATATGTGTAGACCTGATTAGTTTTTTTGCCGTTTGTCGAGTACTTTTGTGTCTTATTTGAATTATGTGAGACAAAAGTGCTAAAAATATATATTATTAAACTAATTTAAGTAGAAAAACAATGAATATAACAAAAATGTTACACTGTCTTTACATCAATACAACAAATAACATACATTGTCAAATTTTAATAAGAGGTTATTCAAGCTACGATTTGAAGACTGAAACGGTGGCCTCATACTGTAACCTACCAAATGTCTTAGTGTAATTGCCTAAAATTAAACTTTAAAAATAAAAAAAAAATAACTTTATTAATAGCATTTTGTCTATTACGGTTACACAAGTTTTGGTTGTTCCGGTATAAACCTTCGGGCCTTCGATGTCGCTCAGACGGCAGCTGGGGTGGGTAGCTAAAAAATTCCGGAAATTAACCCTATGCAGAGTTGGGTAGTATCCGGATACTTCTGTATCCGGATACAGTATCCGGATACTTTTTGTGTATCCGAAAGCTGTATCCGGATACTTTTCAAATTTTGTATCCGGTATCCGTATCCGTGACCAAATTTGTAAGTATCCGGATACCGGATACTTTTTTCGGCATTCGGATACTTTTAAATTATTTACCACAATCGTAACTAATCCAATCCATATTATCTGTATTAAAATATATAATCGAAATACTTTGAGCTACCCTGTATGATTAGAAATAAAATACCTATTTTTCAATATTACAATATTTAAGATACAATTGCAATAGGTACCTACTTAAATAGAATATAGTAAAATAATTATTTTATTATGATTTGTAGTTTTGTAAAATTTAAAATAATGCAAAAAAACTTCTCATCGCCAAGGATGAATTCGACGATTCACTCAGTATACAGACGGTCGATATTCATCATTTTGCGGCACGTTTTTACAGGAAAAATCCTGCAAACCCTTGTCCGGTGTTAGCGTCGCGAACTTGTGGAGGTTCCATTAGCTCAGTGATGTTTCAGTTGGCACAGACAAGAGACGATTGTTTATGTGTTTTTATATAATGCAATATAACTAAACTTTCTGAATCAGTTTTAGTGGCTAACTATACGCAAAGGTAAGTAGGTGTAGGTACCTCTAATTTTTTGTTATGTAAAATGTCTAATTACATTATTAGTCCCCAAAATGTAGTCGAGAAAATACATGTATGACGTTGTTGCTCATAATGTTACTGATCATGTGTTATTTATGTCGTCATCAACATCAATAAAGTATACAGATCTGACAAGATCAAATATACGAGCCTGCTTTGTCTGTGCCAGAACGAAACATTAAGCAATCTCTCACTTCTCCTCCTTTCGACGCTCTGGACTCTACCGAGTACCTCTCGTCGGAGGATCTATAAAAAATGGATTGTCGAATACATCTGACACTGACGAGAATATCGAAAAATTGTATAAACATGGTAAGTCGCGCCAACAACGAGTTTATTTCGTTAGATTTATATAGGCGCGACTCGTTTTATTTACACGCACCTTTATGTTTTATTGTTCATTTTGTTTTAATGTTTTATATTCACAGAATAAAAATAATAAACAATTTATTGACTAGTTTTTTTCCTGTTTCTATTATATCGCTTATTTATACCTAATATTGTTTATTGTTACTCGTAATCAATCTTATTGCATAATTATAAATAAGTATTGGTATGAAAACATTATTTTAACTCACTTTAAAAGTATCCTTAAAAGTATCCTAAAAAGGTATCCGAGAAAAGTATCCGGATACTTGTATCCGAGTACTTTTTAGGTGAAAGTATCCTAAAAAGTACCCGGATACATTGTAAGTATCCGTATCCGGTACTCGGATACTTTTTTGCTGTATCCGACCCAACTCTGACCCTATGAAACCCGATTTTTGTATTTTTGTAAAAATTTTCTTCTGATGGTATTTTTCCATTGATGGAGAAGAAATTAAAAGTATAAAAAAATAAAATTTTGTTCCTCTTATTAAAAAAAAAAAAATGTTCATAGGTATGTAAATATGGTACCGACAATAGAAGAAATTTGCAGAAGAAGATTAGTATTTAGAAAAACATTTAATTCATTTTACTTTAATTATTGCACATGAAAGTCCATAAAACAGTTTCTAGCCTTGATCAAACACAATGTCAATTATATTTTCTGCAAAAAATGTGAATCCTGCACTTGCAACCTTTATTTTGGCACCTAGTGGCCTTTCTGTTTACATAAAATTCAGAAAAATGACGAACATTGTCATCGTTATCTTCACTTTCATTACCTTCACGTTTCTGACTTATCCGTTTTGCTTCAAGTTCTGTCACACAGTCTGCTCCTGGATGCGTAGCAATTTCAGAATCATAAAAATCTAAATCTTCCTCTTCACTATGTGATCTATCACTTCCTGGTTCTGCAATATTCCCAATATCTTACATGTTACCATCTTCTAAAAGATCTATCAGAGGGCTATTTTAAAACTCGAGAAAATTCATCTTTCTCAAGAGAAATGTCATACGGCAACGTTAAAGATTATTTTTAGAGCCCTTAGGCCAGTGTAAACTCACTGATTGTTTCTCTCAGTTTATTTAGAGATAATTAAAATTCTCCTAAAAATTTTAATCTTCGAGGCCTTTAAAAACAGCGTTCCCACATTGACGTATGACATTTCTGATGAGAATCTTAAAAGAAATGAGTGATCCCATACTTTGAAAATAGGTCCCCGGTTTACAAACATAATTTGGATTCTCTAAATTATATTTCTTGTGGGTTCTGCCATATTAGGATAGCCATGAAATATATGTCAATTAATTTTGACAACACATTAGACCACATATACATACAAATGTACAATAATAACAAAAAACTTCATACCATTTGTACATAAAGAAGTACATGTGAATAAACACGATTTTTTAAGAAAAAAAAATACTGTAATACTGTATAATTTTTAGGTCTATGGTAAATACGCACCTTTACTAATAGCATTGTATGTAGATCAACTAGTAAAACAATACCAATGCAAATTATCTTGGAGGACAATGGACAGTATCAACAGATGGCAGCAAGCTCCGTGGTGTCCAAGTCATGTCTTTGATAATTTTGTCGTCTTCGAAACGAACGTAATTTCTCTATTTACTAATAGATGGGCCCATAATCGATTCACAATATTTGTTTTAAAAATGGAATATATGAGTTGAATTATGCTTATTGAACATTTATTTACGATTTATTATCATTTTAGAGAATATAAACAATAGTAATTTAAATTTAGCACTCTACCCATATGAATTTAAAAATTAAGAAAATTTTATGAATATAGAATTCTGTACTCAATGATCGAGGAAGTGCTAGCGTTCGGGCTATTTTGATGAATTTCTAATAGATGTCGCGACAGAATTGCCTCCAATAAAACGTCCACAAGGTTGTTCTACTATCTTCTCTAAATACAATGCTAATAGTTACAAAAAATATAAATCAGTTTTAACCAAAACTAACTATAGAAACTTAATAGAACTTTAACAAATTTTGACACATAACGTTTTGGTTATAACGACTTATAGAATGGTAATTACTTTAAAATAGGATGAAGGGCAATGTTTTCTGGTTTTTTTTTTACCAGGGACCTGAAAGTTTCAGATTTAAAAAATATGTACATATACGTGTACACAGGGTCTCAAAGGGTTAAGGGGGCGCCAACTGGGTCTCTTTATTGTAGTCAAACTATGTTCCTATTTCCCAACAAACGCAGTAAATGAAGAAATAATTAAAAGACAAACCTCAACTTATATTCCTTTATAATTGATTTATCAAATTTACACAACAATTAATATCATTTAAATAAACAAGAAACTAACAAGCCTAATGTTATCAAATAAATCCTAAATCATTCTCCAAGGACTTAAAAAATTACAATATTTAATTTGTTTAAGTACCTAATTATGATGAATTCATAACTAAATAAATTCAAATAACAAAAGTAAGAAATTAAAATGTATTTGTCATATATGTAATATGCATGAACCCCTTAGATTAAAGAGACCGAATATGTAACATTTTAACCCCCAAGTAACCCAACAATTAAAAATCACTGTTTCACGACGCCACCCGAATTGTTCCGATATTTTTATTCAACGCTCACTTCCGCCTGAGTTCAATGACCATTGACAGCTGTTTTTTAAGTTATTTGTTGGTGTTTTAGCAGATGTATCGTGAAAAATTGTATACAGGGTGTACTCCCAGGCCGGATATTTTGGTAAGTAATAGAGATATTTAAATTCTATAAGTGCCTTTTTATAGAGCGTTAGAAGATCTTCAGTTTTAGGTGTAAATTAATTTTAAATATTTCAATATGTAGATGGCGCTGCGCTCAATATTTTTTGTTCGATGGGAGGATCTTTCTTATATAGCGGATCTTATAAAAAATGCATTTTTAAGCCTATTTTGTTGTATAAACTAATTCGATAAATCTGGCCATTTTTGACATACAGAGTGAGTCACTCAAAGCAGTTTCATCCTGTTTTTCGGCATTATTTATTGAATTTTTAGAAATTGCTAAAGCAGATCAATTTTTATTGCAAATTGATCACATTTTTACAATACAGACATTTGTCATGTGTCAACCCCCCCTCCCTTCCACTTCGCCAACCCTTTAATTTTAAATAAAGAATGTACCATGTACGGCACATCGTTGAAAAGGTAATTTTATGGGAAAGTCAAAAATATGACTTTTTATTGCGATACTTTTAATTTTAGCGCCCTCTATC